AATAGCAGAGAGGGTCGGAAGACGACGTCTCCGGCCTATACTTTTGGATCGAAATATGAAAAGAAAATAAACGCCAAAACTCCCGGTTTGTTGACTATTGCTGTGAAACGATATATAAATTACAATTAGTTAATGCATTGAATTGAGGTCCGGGAGAGTACGACATCGAAGGTGTGACCAGAATTGGCAAAGACTGGACTCCATCTGCTTTTGTTGGCGCAAAGTTCAAAGAACCCGAACCTTTCAATACTCCGGCGCCGACACAGTATTCGCCCGAAAAAAGTATTTATAACGCGAGGGGACGACAGGCACCGAGTTATACGTTTGGCATCAAGGTTTGATCATGATCTTTATCACTTTGTAATTTAATATAATTGGGTTAAATCATAAATGGAAACATTAAATGTTATAAATTTTATAAACTTTATAAATTATTCATTTTTATAATTACTTTACATATAAATTCAATTCAGGTGTTAATATTTCAAAATATTACAGAATTTTCAAGAATATTCTATATTGTGTTAATAAATATATCAAGATTTTGTATTATTTTTGCACATATTTAATCTAAATTTTGAAACTTGATTTAATAGTAGAAAATGCAAGTATTCCTCCAATTAAATCATTTATGCATCTAATAGTATAATTGTTGTTATTTAATATATTAATAAAAACGTTGTGTCTATTATGTTAATTAATTAACTCACAAGTCAGTATTGTTAATTAATTGATTATTCAGTTAATTTTTATAGATTTTAAGACGACAAAAGTTCATTTATCAAAGCAAATCTTAGATTTAAGACCTTTTATAAACAATTTACTTATATAATAATAGATAGACATTTATCGTAAACAAAGAAATAATTATTTAAATAAATAAATATTTAACTAACATTTAAAGGAAATGAATGTCAATTTTATGCATCTATTTAGATAAAGGATGCGTCAAGTGATGTAACGCCGGTAACAATTAATTAACTAATAAGTCAATTAAAAATATCTAAAATTCTGCTGTTTTCAAGTAAATAGTTTCGTTTAGAATCTAAATTCTGGAAAATATTTGTTAAATGAATATATTATTATCTATCTGTAATACAGATTCTGTATTATCGTAAACAAAGAAATAATTATTTAAATAAATAAATATTTAACTAACATTTAAAGGAAATGAATGTCAATTTTATGCATCTATTTAGATAAAGGATGCGTCAAGTGATGTAACGCCGGCGCCGACTGCTTATAATGTTCCCGAACCGGACGCCTATAAAATCCAAAAGCAACCGATGTATACATTTAGGCCCCGAACACAACTACCCGCAGACAAAACACGCAAACCCGGACCAGCAGACTATGCCATTGAGAAGGTCTGCTGTATTTGCTTATAACCAACCATTGGATCTAATAATATTGATTAACCAATAGTTGTCATAATTAACAGTTAGTCCATTAAATGTTCAATAATCACATTAAAAAGATTATATCATATATAGATTAGAATAGTATTGTTATAACTTATAACTAACTGTAAATGAGATTAAAATGCAATCACTCTATTGTTTTCAATGAAGGTTTGGATCGATAAGACAAACGCTCCAAACGTGACATTTGGGTCGCGTCCGTCTCCGTATGCGCTCAGCTTTTAATCGACAACTTTGGTTAATATACTTTATATCACATCATTTAAACAGTATTTTATTAATTACAAAACTAATAAATAAAAACTTTATATTAAAAAGTTTGTTTTCCAAATAATTTACAATTTTAATAACACTATTAATGAATCAATTATTATATATATATTCTTTGATATTTTGTAAACAGATATGAAAATAAAGGAAACACTTATGAAATTGAATAAAATAGTTATCAAAATTTTTAATGATTTGTTTCCATATATCCATTATTAATGGCTTTAAAAGTAACAAAACAATTATCTAAAAAGGGATGACATTTCGTATCCAATATTTACAGTAAAATCAATACTTTAATAACAGAAAAATTCATTAAAACATCTGAAAAGACAAAAACAAAATATTAATTAAAAAAGTGATTCATATTTAAAATAATGAAAAAATACATACATATAAACAATAATCACTTTCAATAACCGCCGTATTTCTCCTGAATATAAAATGAATACAAAAAATGAATAAAATGTTCAAAAATATAAGCTATAGATTGTACTAAACCTGTAGCGAAGACATAACATTTGTGGCTAAGTTGGAGAGCTTTCCGGCCACTTGAGTGACACCATCGCGAACGCCTTCTTTGATATCGTATAGATTGGGTCCATTGAAGTTAGACATCGATGCCTTCGAGCCCTGAGGTGTCTCGCGTCCGAAGTAGTCATCACTGCTTATACTATTAGAGCCCTGGAAGCGGTTCAATGTTGTCCTCTGTTCGTACTGTTGACAACACAATAACATGTCATTCAATGCATTCAAATAATACAACAAACACTCAATTCTGACTCACATCTGAATCTCTTTTGCCACCAAAAAGCTGATCCGAAGATATGCCCTTTGCGTTACCGAACTTCTTCTGCGCATCGCCTTCGCTCGTATCGATGCCTCGAGGTTTGGACGCCGAGGAGGACGACGTCTCCCTATCAGCTCTTTGTTGACTTCTATTTGTAAATTATAATAATATTTTAAATAAAAGTGTCTAACAGTCGGACAATAAGATGCAAACCTCGAGTGCTTAAAATCGATGGTCTCAATGGTGTCCAAAATGTCGGGCTTTTTCTCAACGGGTTTATCCAATTCGCTCCAGAAGTCATCGTTATTCAAGTAGTCATCCCTTGACTTGTACTCACTTTTGCCGAACGGCGTGTCCTTGTATTTGGGGGGACCAGAAGAGAAGCCGAGCTCTAACATCATTAGTTCCTTTTCCATCTCTTTTATGCGCGAAGAGCTGTTTCTGGACGAAGAGTTGTTTGGATTTGGGATCTGTTCTATAGTTTGCATATCGGAAACCGCCGAATGGGAAACACCGGTGCTTTTGGATCGGTTGCCACTACTGAAACCCATTCCCAGTCTCTCCAATTGGTTGGCTTTGTTTGGATCAGTTATTCGCATCTTCTCTTCGGTCTGCTTTTGGCGTTCACCCAAGTCTTCGTACGCCAAACGAATCGATTCGATGCGCTCTATGGCGTCCTCTTCGCTCATGGGTTTGCTGTCATTCTTTGAGATATTATCCTTCATTTGATCCGCTTTGATGGCGTCCTCTTCCAGTTTAGTGAAGTCCGTTTGAACCTTCTGTGCGCCCAAACCCTTCTTCGCTCCCAACTATGCAAATGAATGACACAATTAAATGACAATTAATTGTTTGTACGAAATATTCTATGAAAAGATTCATTTAATATATAAACACTTTTCTCAAACTTTATTTCATATACTTTTGCAGGAATCTCAAGAAAATTAAAGCCATTAATACTAGACTCCATTTGCAGACGTCCTGCTATTCACTAACATTAGGGTAAAGTTGTATTTTATATTTAAAACAATTACCCCTTTCTTAGTGGCCGTCTTTCGGGCGCCGATTAGCGATGGCTTATAATCTTTAGCACCGCTTTCATTAGAAGCCGACACGAGATTAACATTGGGACCAATTGTCTCGTCGGTAGAAGTCTTTTGAGGTTTATTTAGAGAACAGGCAGAGGAGACACTTCGTTGAGGCACTGAATTGTCGTTTACGTGTTCCGACCAAAAGTCTGCCGAAGTCTTCGTTGCCGGCGGTGTCGGCGGGTGATTGACCGCCGCGGGTGTCGGCAGATCCAGACAATGGCCGTACATTTTCAGACTATTGGCCACCGTTTGGGACAACTTATCTCGATATAACTGCGCCGCTCGACTCGAGTACTTCTGTTGCGAGTCTTTTGTGGTGCAGTTGTGGTCGACAAAGAACTGGTGCTATAAAGTGGTCAAACAAAACAGAAGAATCGGTTAGTGTTTGGGACAAAACATGGTATGAGTGGGACATTACAGCCGAGGCATTGCCGCCGCATTGCATTGCTCTCAATTGAGTCCAATTCCACTTCGTGTCCAACTCTGACGACCGCACGAACGATATGTGGACACCGAGTCCGCGGTGGACAGCGGAACAGTCGATGCAAATGAACACTCCATACGTGATGCTAACCCACGACGGGTTTCGGGCGCCGCAATCAAAGCATGTCTACAACAATACAATACAATGGTCAGAGGCTCTTCTTCCGTCCAGCGCATTTGCTAAGTGTCATCCGATAGAGGGCCTCATGATCTAGTTGCACACCAATTTTGGTCGAGTTTTCATCGCCCATTTTCGAGATAATCGACTTTGAAATTTTGGATGAATTAATGAATGAAAACAATAGACTTTTACATGAAATCCAATGTTTGAATGAAATGAAAACACATTTATTTAAAATTCACTCAAAATATGAAACACTTATCGATTCAGAAGACAATCAATACTTCCGGACATTATCTCAAACTTTGGATCAATTGAGTGATGAAACATATGCATCGGTTGTCCGCAATATTAAGACTGAATTTAAAGACCGACTGAAGAGTCCATCGGTCAGAGGCTCTTCTTCCGTCCAGCGCATTTGCTAAGTGTCATCCGATAGAGGGCCTCATGATCTAGTTGCACACCAATTTTGGTCGAGTTTTCATCGCCCATTTTCGAGATAATCGACTTTGAAATTTCGAAAATTTTCAAAATTACAAGCACTAGTTTTCTCATATTTACATTTATTTTTCTGTTTATTAAGCTCCTACTACCTTTTTCGTTAGCTTTACATTAAATTATATGTCAGTTAAAATTTATAGCAATGTTTAATTTATGTATAATGCTAATCTTATGAGTTATGTAATTCCTGTTGGCTTTTACCAATTATATTGAAGTAAGATTGTGGAAAATAATAAACAAAATTCAGTGTATTTTTAACACAATTAACAATTTTTTGTTTGAAGCGATTGAATGCGAAAATAATTGCAATTTAGATATCAATCAAACAATTGACATACAATTA